AATAATCTCGGACGTTTTTTGAATATTAATATATTGTGAAACAATTTAGCGTTGAAGCAAGATATAAGAATTTTGAAGAATTGTATCGTATGACGAAGGGAAGGTCATCGAGATATACGAATGGCTGCCTGAATGAATAGGAGAAATATATATTGTGAAGAGGATAAGATTTGAAGCGAATCTTTTGTGTGTTGTTTGTCACAATTCAAATCTTAGCATCAAGCCCAGTGAAAATCTAGTCCTGTATAACTAATTAAGTTTAATTTAATCAAATTTCAGGATCAATTTGATTCAGATGCTCGACCAGAGTCGATAATATTACCAGATATGTACACTTGAAAGGGGAAGTTTTGTATAGAAAATACGCCTCTTGTAGGGTACAAAGTATATTATTGGAAGTAAAACCGATCGCCAATTGGCTGGCAATTGGTGCTCCTTTGACTAGAACCAGTCATCGAGCCATTTTCCCACATTTTCGTACTAAGAGCAATCCTACTTAGCAGGTGTGTGTCCAACGGATGCAATCAAAATGATTCCGATGTAATTGAGAGAATTATCGAGCAGTGAGCAAGACGCAAGAGCTAGCACGTGCCAGTTCGCACACTTGTACTGAGACATAAACTGAGAATGCTTCAGCTTTCGATTATACTAGAATAATAGTGTCCGCGAATATTTTATCAGCCACCCTACGGTACCAAAAGTGAGAATTCAGTCATGACACCCAATATCACAAACTATCAAAATTTAGTTTTTCTACTGTTCTTCCTTTTTTTTTTTTAAACAGACGTGATGGGTATAAAGCATTTGGTTACAGAAAAATATAATTTTCACCGGTCTTTGGAACGCGAACGGTTCAAATCATCATCAACCCAAGATGGAGACTATCGTCTCGTTGCCGAAGCGATTCAGTCTCACAGCCGATACGGATGATTAGACCGGATATGTCCACGAATTGTCACACTAAAATATATGTTCAGCTGGGACATGATTAAAAAAAATTCTTTCGTTCGAGCGAAGAAACAATATATTGTCAGGGAATGCTTTTTATTATTTTATAAAACTCGACATATTCGTTAGTGTTAGGAAAAATATTTTTACGTTGCGGTATGTGTCGATATATATATATATGTATATATGTATATGTATATGTAAAAATGTGTTGCTATGTATATATATTAGGTTATACTGAAAATTCTCCGCAGTTTCTTCCGCGGGATGGGGTTGCTGCTTATATATCGGGAAAAACACTGGCCTTGTCTCAAGCGAACATGTGTTTAAAAAGTGACATTTCAGCTAATATTTTTTGTGAAGATAGTTGTCCAAGGTAACGGTCGCGTAAAAAAGTTATATTGATTTGAAAATGAGTGAAATACCTGAGCAAATACGCTCGTGATGCTTTTTTGCTATAAAAAACCTCAAAATGCAGATAAATAAAAAAATTTGTGAAAATGCTGTGAGTGATCGAGGGATCCAGTAGTGATTTGCTTGATTCCATTCCGGAAATTTCGCTTTCAAGGATGCACCTCGCAGTTATTGGAACAGTCGATGGAATTTTACAACTGGTGAAGCAACACTGGGACGCAAGCTGCCGGGAGATGGTGGAGGCACTAAACAGCAATCGCATGACCGTTTGAAATCATTTGAAAAGAACAGGCTACAAAAGCAAGCTTGAAAGCGGGGGAGAAATCGCGGAGACTTTTCAAAATAGCCCAATATTACACAGAAAAAAGCCAAGTCAAGACATGTATGTCTGCTAAACGGGAAGCTAGGGCCATCTATGAGCAAATTCCGGTTCCATATTTACATATCTATTACTAACAATATTGTTGAATTAATCGAACAATTTATCAAAAATGCCTCATGGAATTTTTGGGAACGTCCTCGATGAAGGAAGACCCATATGAATCAGGGAAAATTATATTCCTTGCGCTACGAAATAATCGCCAAATAATTATACACTCAATAAACTTGGAGGGTACGCTTCATTTGATTGTGTGAATGGAAAACGCCGCCCTACAGGAACAGGAATTAATGCTTTTGCCGCTTTCGAACGTAACTACCGCGTTTAATTTTTGCGGAATTCCGTGCATCGATAACTGCAAGGTAGTTAGTTAATAGGCATTTGTACGATATAGATTTCAGTTGTTTGCAGATTGATGTCCTTTAGGGCATTGCGTTCTTCGATTAGGTCTTAAACTTGAAAAAGTGCAGCTACAGGTGCGGAAATATCTATGTTGACAGGTGAAAAATTGTAATTCTGAAAACTAGGAAAATCATGTAGGTGCCTACGTGCCTAACAAAAGCAACGCGGAAAGTGATCTTCAACTTCCTCTGGGAACATCTCCTGATTGCGACGTATCCTCCACACCTATGTCCTTCTAATTAACACCGTTTCAGATCGATCGAGTCATCGGAACATCAGCGGATTAGCTGTTCTGCAAAGTTAATGATAAGCGAGACCAAGAAGCTTCTATCGCAAGCTGCCCAATGAAAGACGACAGACCGTAAATATTGATAACGAATATTGCGATCGTTAAGTTTGTGAACTTGAAGTTTACTTTAAGCAAAGTTGAATTTTATCAAAAAATGAACAGAATTTATTTGCACGTCCGTTCAATTGGGTGCAACGTTTGTCTTCGTTTCATTGCCCATTTTGTCTTACATTCGGCAAACTAACTACCTTATTAATGCCGTACGTTACGTTATCGAAAATAGAGAGAGATTCCGATATCTACAAGTGAACGATTGATCACAGAAAACGTAGACGGTGTTCTCCAGGAACTCAAGCAAGATCGGCAAATCAGCAGTCAATGCACAGTTAGACGCCTGAGTATGCATTGGACAGTAACGTTAAGCCATCATTCAGAGAAAATTAGAAGAGAAATATATATGCAACCGGGCCACTTACAATTTCAGTACAACATTCAGTCCATAGTTTCGTTTCTCCTAGATAGCAGAGAATGTACACCACGTACAAAGGTACACAGAACATTAGTTAAGTGGTTTGCTTTTTACATATGCGTGTGTTTACCATCTCATAATTAATTCTTAATATGGTGTATACCGCATATGTACACCTGAGACGGTTACAAATTCAGTTTCTCCGAATTGAAATAATGTACTTCTATTTAATTTCCTTGCAATTTAAAAAGAATAAGAAAAAAGAAAATTTCTAATGATGTGCGCACATGATATTATTTGGACTAAATAACCTTGGGTAGGAATCGGAAGAATTGTACAAGCAAACTCTTAAGTATCTGCCGGTCAGTTACTGCAAGTATCTATCTATCTACCTAGGTTCGTTAGGTGCTTTGAAAATTTTACAGTCTAACTTTTAGATAGAGTTGCTGCTAATGGCCAAAACGTATCATTATTGATAACTTCGTGATTTGATTTAAGTTAAGCCCATTTCAAGTATTTCAACTGATTACATAATGCACGAATCATAAGCCATGCAATGCAGCCTTCTTTAAATTCAAATCATTCCGATAAAATCTTCGTAACATTGTTAACTGCGTCTCGGGGAAAGCAATAGAACTGACTATGATACCTTCAAGTACGGCAATAATTATGAATTTCCACAACAATCCGCAAAAGAGATTAAACCGAATGATTCCGTTTCGAAAGAATCGAATCGCCAAAGAAAGTTAAGGCGTCAACTTTTCGAAGCATTAGATACCGGTGAAAGGGGACGCCTACAATACAAAATAAAGTGAGAACATCTCTGTTTTTCTGAAGTCGGAAGTGAGCTAAAAAGTATGCTTTCAGAAGAGTCGCCGACAACGCCCGCACACCTATGCAACAAAAATTTTTGTATTGAAAACAGATGAAATCTGCCAAGCCCACACTCCATATCGTGGAGCATGGAATTTACTTCTTTTACTGTTTTTGTCTTTTTCAGGATAACGGTGATGGATACCACCGCTTATAAGAATTCTCAGAAGAAGTAAATCTTTATATGCACAAACGGCCTAGTTGTCAATGTTTTATGATGAAAATTTGTTCTTCACAGTAGTTTGACACTAATATTAAGTTGGCCCAAACTGAACCACATGAGAGTATTTGTTGGGCCTCATTCCATATTCGATTTTTCATAAACCCTTCAGAAAGGGATTTAATTTCTAATATTTTATGGACGAAAAATAGTGCATAGTAGCAGCTAAGCAAAAAAATTGAGGATTGGGAGCTTGGATCACATCGGTCTATTTTTTCAACTCCAACAAAGATAGGGCTTATCATGAAAAGCAAGCCCTCATATGGAGAGAAAGTCTAATTTCTAATATTTTGTGACGGAAACTGAGAAATAATAAAACTTTTTGAGAAAGTAAATTAAGTTTGCGGAAATTTGGATCACGCCATATGATGTTGCGGACATTCTCCAATATGCGGGCTTCCATGAAAAGTATGCGATTATATAAAACTACTTTATAAGCTTTGGTGTATTATTAAGAAAACGAATGAATGACTGTATTAGACGAAGTGGTGCAGGTGTGTAATGATCGACCCTACCCGCCTATAAGTCCTTACTTACTTCCTTCCTTTTTTAGAAAAAAGTGGTGGCTACAAAAGATTAGGACCCAATCCAAAATAATTTTCTTACTATTTGTGATGCAAATTTAGTAAACTGACGGTGTTTTTCGGGCTCATGATGTGATCCTACCGTCTAAATTGCCTGTATATGCTCGAGGCATTGACGGGTTCTAAGCTATAGCTTAATAAAATTGCTTTTATTCTAACAATAACCAAAAATGACGGCACGAATTACGGTAATAGTGTCTTCTTATACTATTACCACTATCTTCGTCAACGTCGGCCATTCGTCTAATGTTCCCTGCTATTAGTAAAGAAAGAAAAAAATAAATAAATAAATAAAAATTAACAATTTTCGATCAATGTATGCACCCCTCATAAAGAACTTAGTGAATTCCGATCTCTCGTGATGCACTTTTAATTTCATATATCTGTGGAGCGATTTTTATTTAATTAAATTTTTTTTATAGCTTCACTTTTTATCAAAACTGTACATCTATAATATTTGGTTGATATTAATAATGAAGTTGCGTTCGTTTATTATTTTGGTAAGTTTTTTATTTTGTAATAATTTCTTCTTCTCTTATTATTATTGTTATTATTATTTCTTTTCTATAGATTATCTTGGGCAGTTGCTTATTGGAGTGTTTAACTTTAGTTAAGGGTCATGGTCGTTTAATGGATCCACCGGCACGTAATGCTATGTGGCGTTTCGGTTATCCCAATCCGGTTAACTATAATGATAATGAATTATTTTGCGGTGGTTATGCAGTGCAATGGGAACAGAATGCTGGTAGGTGTGGTATTTGCGGTGATGCGTATCATTTAAAAACACCACGTCCTCACGAGGCTGGCGGTGAATATGGCAAAGGCATAATATCGCGTTATTACACAGCCGGTCAGGTAGGCAAGATTAGTTAATTTGTAATAGTAAGTTAACACTCAAGCCGATGAGCTCGTATTGAAATTCTAATCAATCGAAAACTAAGTGTTAAAGTGTTTATAAGTTTAAGTAAATTTTTCTTTATTTTTTATGCTTTGTGTGTAAATTGTTTTTTTCTTTTTTTTTTTTTTTTTTTTTTTTTTTTCTTTAAGGAAATCGAAGTTGAGGTGGAATTAACAGCCAACCATTACGGACGCTTTGAGATGTACTTGTGTCCAAATAACAATCCACGCAAAGAAGCCACCCAGGATTGTTTTAACCGCTTCCCTTTGTATATATCGGGTTCGCGAGAGTATCGTTACCTAATACCACGTGATGCTAAAAAGAAGGATATCTTCCGTTATAAAGTAAGATTGCCGGCATATGTTACCTGCACTCAATGCGTTTTACAATGGACATACTATACTGCCAACATGTGGGGCACTTGTTCTAATGGTACCGAGGCCGTGGGTTGTGGTAAGGCTGGTAGGTTCGAAAATGAATTTCAATTTTTTTCGTCTTTCTGAGAACGACACGTTATTAAAATCTGTAGAAACCTTTCGAAATTGTGCTGATGTAGCCATTGTCTCAAATACAGGAGGCGGTTTACCTCCGCTGTTCGTTAACAATAGAAATCCTTATCTATTGTATTATCGTGATTTCAGAGCTCCTCTAAGCCGTAATATATTCCCGTTAATTGTAAGGTAAGCAAAAGTCACAGAAATGAGTTTTCTCAAGTAAAACTATTATAGAGGGGCACGGCCCAACGTTAAATACCCTACGCTACTTTGCTTAATACAGTTTATCCCTTATTGTAAAAACTCGTTATATGGAAAATGGTCGAAGAAATGCTCCGATCTAAAACATTTTCAATAGACTTCGGCCGTGGGTCAAAACACGTCGAAGTTCCAAATTTCATGATAACATTTTAAAAATTTCACAATAAAGCAAGGTGGAGACGCGGACAGACGGACCGATATATTTAAATAAAATCAGAAAGTGTTTCTGAATCGATCGCTATAATAATAATCGGGTCTATTGTAGAATATTCGGAGTGTTGCATACATCCGCACAAACATAATATACACTTGCACCACAAGTGGGGTAGGGTATCAAAACTAATTACATTGCAAGCATTCGTTGGCTTTTTTAAAACAATTTTCTTGCTTTTCATAGACAAACATCCAGACATTAACTGAGTTATATATAAACAGCGCCAAAAACCGCTTTATAAAGTTAATGTCATCTAAATAAATATGCTAACGATTTCATGACAGTTACTTAAGGATATAGAGATTTAAGAAAAAGGATTAAAGTCATAATAACACACATAAGCACAAATATACATACACGCACACTGTAAATTTTATACCAAAATAACACATAAATAATAACGACATATTAACCTTTACATAAACATATTACAAAATGAAAAAAGAAAAACCTTACATATTATATCTAGAACATGTAAATATGCGTTTAAAGGCTTATGGGTGCTTAATATCTACATAATTTTCTTTTAAATAAATTTTATATAAAATATGAGAATAAAAAGAATTAAACTCCACGTTGTTGTTTTATTTATTAATTTATTGGTGTTGGTAATATCTATAATTCTTATAAGCACATATTTTATTATATTATTTTTATTATTTTGTCAACGATTTTGTTTGCAAATGTTCATATAAGCAATGTTTGCATCGTATCCTGAATATATGCTAAGCTTTAAGCTTTCTTTTAAACATAAACTAAAGTGAATATAATACAAACCGCACCATACAGGGCAACACACAGTAATTAAAATAATTCACAATTATGGAAATGGTGTAACAGTGTTTTTCTTTTTCCTTATTTCTTTTTTCTTTTTTTTTTTTTTTTTTTGAACATTGTTTTTATAGAATAACAAAAAACTTTCAATTGCTACTAGATTTGAAAAGGGAAAGTTTATTTCAAAGAGTAAGAAAAAAGGGAGAGAAAAGAAAATATTTATTTATTATTATATATATATATATATTATATATATTATATATATTTATATATAAAATTATATTACATCTAAAGATCACTCGTCAAAAATGTTTAAAAAAAAGTCTACATCACGTGCTGAACTTAGTGAACGGTTTGTACGTTGTACATTGTCAAAATAAAACTGTTGGACGCATATACATATAGGTGAACGTATGTATACCTTGTATTACGTTGAGCGTGAAAGCAAGCTTTTGCCAAGCTTTTAATATTTTCCGCTTTATTAATTTTTCACCTCCTCATTAACGTTTATGTAAACCTGAGTTTCCTTTGCGAACGCAAGCAAACTAGGTATTGGATTGGATAATTGAATGGATTGCGTGCAAACGAATTTGCAGCAAAGATAACTTAGTATAACTCATAAGTAAAAATTTGAAATATTTATAACTTCAGTTGAAACAGGTTGAAACAGAGTCTTAAATCATTTATTATCTGTTAGGCAAGAAATGTTCAGCGATATTTAATACTTCCAATTAAAAATTTGATTATTTGCGTGATTTTTGTGTTGGCATGAAAATAAACCTTATTTCAGTTGCATTGGATAAAGGATTTTATTTTCTCATACAAATTGTTAAATGATGCCGTGAATAATTTCTTGTTATCATTTTGTACGATTTTCGGTGAGAGCATTAAGGGGCTACCTTGCCTCGATTGCTTAACAATTAAGTCTCAAAAAAAGTTCTGACCATTTAAATAGTTCAATGATGAACTGAACGTAAGTCCTTGGGAGATAATAAACAATGGTTGTCATAGAGGTTATCCCGAAATGCAAAAGCTCGTTTCAACTTAAGTTCAATCATCTTATCGATTCCTGGACTTGCATACAAATAATATTTCGTAAATATATCACCTCACAGAAGCGGTTTGCTCCGTGAATATAACGCTCCGTAATATAACGATTGCGTAAAAAACAAGAGAACATTTATTTCCTTCGAAAAATCGGAGATAACCAATTTATTATTGTAGGAAGCCCATAACGATTTTTAAACATGAGTGTTGGCGTTCGATCATTTCACTAGCAACAAAAGCAAAAACATTATGTATTCAAGATGGAATATTTCATTAGCAACATTCATTAGAAACATTATTGCAACGTTTGCATTTAATTTGTTATAACACTATTTCGTCATTACATCTTCTCAGTATAACTTGCCTTTTTTAGTTATGTGTTCGTAATTAGGGACTTAGTTTGTTTTACATGTGCACGCTTGCTGATATTATTTAATTTTAATACTTATTTTACATGTTTGTTGTTTATTGCGCAATGAATCGTGACTTAGTAAAGACAACTTCAGCAACGACACGAACCTTGAAAAATGAGGGATTAACTTGTGGAATCTGGGCGGCGAACATGTAGAATTTGTGGGAACTGGGCGCCGAACTTGTGGAATCTTGCGATCACATATTAATCTCAAATAAATTATTTCATTTCAAGTGGTCTTCAAGAATCAAGTCATCTTTAGATTCAATTCATGGAAATCAATTTAATATATTTCTATTGGTATTTAAAGAAGAATTCCATGTTGAGTTGGAATATGTAAGCCCAATATACAAAGTTATTCGACACGTATTTATAAAACTTGTAACTTACTGCGAAAGTAAATAAATACGCACTCCCTGTCTGTCCGTGGCACAATTTCAGACAATGTATTGGCCTACGTTTGAAAACTATAAACAACACACATACACTGCATAGAGAAGCTTATCAGGGATGATATAGTGTTTTGGGTAGGAGATTAAGGTAGGGGAACATAAGTAGCTAGGTGTTTGAGGTGAGCACGGGAATGCTCGGCCGTGCAATCTTGGGTCCTCATGGCTTTATGTGAAGAGGCAAGCTGTCCAGCTCCGTAAGAACTATTATCTCCGATTTTAGCAACTTTGCTTGAAATTTTGACGTAGGCGGGAATATTCATCCGAGGTTCATATTTAAAAAAGTAACTTGTTGTATCCTTCGCTGCTCACAATTTTTTAAACCGTAATAGTTGCGGGAAGCCTCTTGTACGCCACCCGAACAACCTATGTAGAATGTGAGAACAATAGTTTTTGGTGCGAAAGTTTTTGGTGCGAAAGTTTTTGGTGTTTAAGCTTGCTGGGGTGAAAATACGCTTTAACGGTTTTTCAGTGAGAAATCTTGCTATGAAATTTTGATGTGAAGGGCTTTTGAGTGATCTTTTGGTGTGAGATTGTTACTGTAAATCTGGTACCGTGTGTGCTTGTTGTTGCAAATTCTAGTTTTTGTTTGTCTTTGCGATGCACTTGCTTTTGTTTAGATTTCAAAAGTAAGATCACAATAAGGAATCAAAATTCAAAACAAGAGTCAAATGAAAGTAAAGAAATTATTTTAATAACACAATACAACAAAAATTATCAACCAGTTGAAAACAAATTTTGAAGAGATGCGATTTTAGTACAACTTATAAAAAGAGAAACAAAAAATAGAGTAAATGAAGTCTCACAGATTTGGTTGCATAAAATTTAATTCAATTAAATCAGAAGCCTGGAAGAGAAGCGAAATGATAAAGCCAAGTAAGATGTGTGAATATAAAGGAACAAAATGAACATGAGAAATAGTTTTCACTAGAAACAAAACAAAACCCAAAACCTACATAGAACTCTCTGTAAAAAATTCAAGTTTAGTGATGTTTTTGTCGCGCTCTAGATTTTGCAAGAGAGTTACAACTCTATGTGTGTGTGTGTGTTTCTTTTTTTATACATTTTAAAGATAATTTAACTACATACCGAGTAATAATCACATAACTGAATCTTAAGTTAATATTTTCCTACAATCGATTGACAACAACTTTAAAATAACAATTAAAAAACAAACTGAGAGCTACATAAACAACGTGGTATCTGTCTAATAGCCAATATATGGGAGATTATATAACCAATAGTTAGGGCAATGGAATATTACACACATGGTACATCTAGTAAATTAATTAATAGAGTAATGAGACTAACAATGCAGTCAATGCATTTTGAGAAATAGTCCTTTTGATATATACACTGGAATCAGAAGTCGAGTAGCAGTCATTGTAACTTTTGCAGACACGGACAACGCCGACTAAATAACTCATAATTGATTCTTGATTGGCCCAAAATTATTGGCTCATAATTACAAATTGAACGCGAATGAATATGAATGTTGATTTCCGTTAACAAATTTACTGTGTCAATCTTAAAACGTTATTATGTATAAAAGTAACTTCTGTCGGTTTCAAGCGATTGCTTGATTCAAGAGGACGAAGTGGCAACAGAGGACACCAACCAAGCCACCTAAGTGCAAACAATGCTTTACAGATAACAACGATTATGCCAAACAAACAAACAAAAGGAAAAGCGTCGAAAAACAGAAAATTTATTAAAGATATGACAAAATTTCCGGAAAGATAACTTGGACGACACAACCGAATAAAATCATTTTATTAAAAAAAACATTTATATGGAAAGAAGAAAACATTTCTGCATTAATTATTTATTTAGTGGAATGAAATTTTGTCTAATTAAGAAATTCAGAATCTTTCTTAAGCTCATTATTAATTTGAAATTGAAGAAAACATATGTTTCTTAAGAAAGTGAAGCCAAGTAAAATTGCCGATCCTATATGATTTGTACATCGTTATCTCCGAGTTTTTGAATCGAATTTTATATAGAATACAACAAGAGCAAGTTGATATAAATTTATTTCCACATAATACGTCACAAATCTGTGAGTGATGCCAAGTATTTGTTTTGTGGATAAAAACAAGTGCACAAATAGTAAATGGAAAACAGCTATTATTATTGATAAGAAGAAGAGAAGGGAAAAGAGAATTTGTGGAAGATACGAAAAAGCGAAACCAGCACAAAACAGAAATAAATTGTCATATGAAATAAAAGTATATTTAAATGAAAGAAAAAAAACAAAAAATTTTGATATTAGTAATTTATTTAGTAAATCTATTTTTTTATTTTTTGCGCGAAAACAGGATTTTCTTTAGAATTCTCCTCTTTCTTTTTTGCAATTCAGCAAATCAACAATCGAGGATTCGCTGTGTTGCGGTAAAGACATTTCAGTGTGAACACAAAGTTCTCTATTGGAACCTTAATAAAGTTATTTAATTAAATAATTTTATCCTAGTTGATTAATATTGTAATGTGAAGAAGTTTGCAGCGCCAAGAAACATAATACGGTGTTAAGTAATTTTAAGAAACAGAGTATTCCCTGTGAATGCAATTTAGTAAAAGTGTACAGAAAGTGGACATGTGCACTTATTTCCCCAGCCTGCTCGGCTCGCCAATACTTGCACTATTTTAATTGCCAAAATTAATTCGGCACACCGCGTCACTATTTAAGGGATGAATTAATATTTTAAATTATCTTCTAAAGTGCCGAGACGAGCTCGACTTGAACTGTTCAAAATTAATTCTTACTTTATTGATAAAATTGGTTGATTATACACTAAATTTCTTTCTTTAAATTATAAAATTATGTAAAACTACTTACTCATAATTTCTGGTAATGGGTGCTTAGTGTAAACCTAATGCTTGCCTCTGTTATTTGAAGAAATGCAAATGCAGCATTTCGATAACTGTACCCCCTGTCTTGTTTTTTATTTTACTTTAATTTATTTGTGGCTGCACTCTACATCATGCACTGAGTACAATATGCTTAAGTTGGCTGTGTTTCCCACAACGGGAGTATAAAACCGTTTCTGTTTTTCGAATTTTTATTTCAAAACTGAACAAATCATATGCGTATTGTTAGTGAAACGCTTATTTTGCTCATAAAGTCCGATTGTATTTTCAGAAATTTAAAAATGTAACCATATCATTTGGCGCTATATAAATTTGGTCAAATAAAATGTGAACAACTAGAGGGGAATAGCTAAATTTTGTTTCATTTTTAAACTTTCCGAACAGCTAAAGGCCAACAGATTGATACGGCCTGTATCGTCAATAGTTTGTAATCAACAGCATGGTTTTGTTAAAGACAAAAGTACTATTACTAATCTTCTAGAATTTTGTAGCTACCTCTCAAGCCGATTTTCGAAAGGCAAACGAACTGATGTGACTTACACTGATGCAAGTTAAGCATTTAACAGAGTCATCCATAATCAGTTACTATTGACGTTACTAATCATGTTTCCCGACTTCCCGATAATCCGTAGAAACTGGTTTGGCTCATACTTACAGAATCGAATCCAAAAAATGCGATTCAACTCTTCCATTTCTGTTTAAATTGCTGTTTGTTCAGGTGTGCCTCAGGATAACCATTTCGGTTCGCTCTTTTTTATTCTGTTTACAAATGCTGTCCCTTTTGTTGTAAGTGATTCTGACATACTTACGTGTGCGGATGACGTGAAAGTGTTTCATTCCCCCAATAACGAAGGTGAGTTTAACACCCTTACGACGAATTTGCCTTCACTTGTGAAATGATACGACCCCTCATATAGCTAAATGCAAATGTTTACACTTCTCGAGAACTGCTCGAATAAGCATACTACACTACGAACAGATGCTGGAGACAGTTTTATCAATCTAATATTGGATGCGAAAATGTCCTTCAATGTACATATTCAGTCAGTTATTAGCGCATCAAGCACTCCTATAGGTTTTATCAAACGATGATCTAAAACAGTTGACAACCCTTATATAACCAAACGGTTGTATATGTCACCGGTGAGATCGTGCTTAGAAAATGCTCCAGTGGTTCAGTCTTCTTGTTGCTGTTGCCACTCTGAGAAGCTTGGATCAGAGCAGAAGCAATTCCTTTTGTTTGCCTTACGCAATCTTGGATGGAATCCAAACTTGAGACACTCTTTTTATGAAAATCAGCTGCTTTTAATCTATCTGCCGTCTCTAACAAAAAAAAGCTTCATGGTATGAGTTTTGTTCCGAAGATAGGTTATAAAAAAGAAGATACTACTCCCGTACCTACTAAACGGGATTGACTTCAACGATCCGCATACTATGAGCCCATTAGGTTATTTCAATTTTTTCAAGTACAATTATAAGCTCTATTTACCTTTGCGGGTCATACTTAAAAACCTTAACAAGTCCTATCACAAATACTCGTGTGCAGGGAGCGGCGAAGTTAAGTTAGTAAACGAAAACTTCCGGACTACTAACCCAATACGAGTGGTTGCCTGAAAATAATACATAATTCTATATAATGGATAGATATCCAGTAGCCTCTTAGTTTATTTGGAAATTTTATGTTTTTACTGGGATTAAATGAGAGGAGGTTTAAAAATTTCCCCAGCTCAACCAAATTGTTCATACCAGTTTGCAAATACTATTACAGACAACTTTGGTCCAGAAATTTTTGAAAATTTTAATTTGCTCCATATGACGAATTTTCAAAATGAGGCCTTATGGGGGACTGAGCGAGACTATTTTCAATAGCTTTCATTCTTGTATCAAAACACGCGTGTGTGTGCCAAATTTCATCAAAATATCTCCAAAAGCGACCTATTGTTTGAACAAAAAACTTACATGGACAGACGTCAGGCGAGTAGGCGCGCAGGCTTAGATCGATTCAGAAAATGATTCCCAATCAATCGGTTTAATTTTATTGAAAGTTGAATCTATATCAAGCCTTTCTGCGTGTTACGTACGTCCGCATAAACTTAATGTACCCTGTACCATAAGTGGTGCTCGGATTTCGTGCTTCGAATACTTTTTTTTGATCTTAATTAAAATAGCATTAAACATAATCAAATTTGCAGGAATTTATTTTTTTCAACAAATCACAAAATTTTGATGAGTTTTGATGAGCTTGAAAAGAAGTGACACAGAAGTAAGCTCCCTCTCCAGAATAGAAGAGAATAACCTTTTCATAAGTGAAATTGAAGAGTAATTTTATACATTATTGTCAATTCTGTTCAATTCGGACATCGACCACAATTAATAATAAACTAGTAAATGAAGGAAAAAGATATTACTGAAGCTAAATTATTCTCACGATCCGACACAGAAAGCAAAATCTTAGCCAGAAATTTAACTTCCGTAATTTCTTTTAATTTATATTAAGAGATAAGATACGCTTAAAAAATAGCAAAAAAAGAAAAAAAAAAAAAAAAAAGAAGCTAAAAAGAAAGCAATACATAAATAATGTCGTCGTCGTCATACATCAAAGTTAAACAAGATAGCAAGCGCTAAAAGTAATTTAGCTGAAGAAAAAACCTTATTAATTAGTCTTAAAATTTTCGCCGCAGATAGGCTGGTTCGGTAAATGCAGTTAACATCGAGGTCCCGGATATGTGAAGGCCATAATGAGGAATAAAAATATCGAAATTTGCACCACGCCCACGAAAATCGTTTTGAAAAGAGAATTTTTTGGTTCGAGTTGCATTTCGATAGGCATTGGGGTACTCGCTTGACGTATACGTCTGCGACATAGTTTGCCACGTATCGGCGGTTCAAAGAGTGACGAAGTCTGCTTGTCGACCCTAGCAACTGCTTGTTCTTCAGGCAGCTGACTCTTGTTGGTCATCGTTTGCATAGATCTCTTATTTTCTAATTTTATTTTATGCGGCGCATTATTAACATTTGAAAGTTTATCCAACTGTTCTTTTGTTATATAACTATCGCTACTTTTGCATATAACCATTTTGGCCTCGGTTTTCTCGATATAATTGGTATTCTTTTCCGAAATAGCTAATGATAATTTTGAAGATGCCTTACTGAACAAGATATTATTAAAAAATATCGGATCTTGATCTAAAATGTTAAACGATACAAAGCTATTTTTGGGTCTTAAGTAGCGCATCAATATATCAGGATTTTCTTTGAGTTTTTTAAACGAAGTTCGTTTAAGTTCGGCATTCTCACAATTAGAGGGTACGTAGAAAGGTCGATTAGCGTCTTCTTTCAACTCAACTATAGTCTTCTTGGCGATGCGAAACTCCCTGACTTCGCCATATTCAAGAACGATACCCAATACTTCCACAATAATCATAACATATTGTTCAAAGCTGGCTATGAATGCCATCAATCTGGGTTCTGGCGTTGCAATATAATCGCCAGTTGAAGAAATTGAGTTAACGATTTCGACAGATCCGGAAGCGAGTGCCAAAGTATCTATCAACGCTGAATGCCGCGAACCGCTATTTCGAAGAGTTGCCTCCAATTTTTCACCCAAAGTTCGTAAAATGACAATTTCCTTCTCTAAGGAGGGCACGTTCTTAAAAACAACATTAACTTCGACTTTCTTGGTTATGTCATCGATATTATTTACCGCTTGGCATTCAATAAGCGGACCAATATCACAATCAGTTTGCACCTCCTGACTGGCCATAACATGAGATTCGAGTTTACTGAGAGCAGTCTTCACTACCGTTTCGTTTTTCAAAATGTTCGCCAATTGAGTTTTCAATATATCCTTAAATAGCCCTGAATTGTTTTTATTTAAATTATGATATCGTTCGTCAGTTTTAACCACATCCTTGAGGACGCTTAGATCTTCGTTCTCCATCGAGAATTGCTTCCGTAGCAGCAAATCTCGAAAATTCGATATAATACGAATACTGCTAGTAGGACCATGAGCCGATCGTGTAGTAACTAATGGTGAGCTTTCTTCCGATTCATTATCGATCTTAGTATTGATAGAAACGGGTGCGGAGAGACTACGTTGCGATTGAGCACAACCTTCATCCTCCACACAATTGGAATTTTGGAATTGGCCATTCTCGGTTTTATATTCATCCGAGGAAGATTTTGAGTTACTAAGGCTGCGTGCAGTCATTATCTCCTTAACTGAATTGATGGGTTTACAGAAATAAACCAGAGCTTCATTTTCCAGATGTGGTACAACAACGGGCTTTTGTTGCCTCTCCTTTTTTAAAACACCACGTTTCTCACTTTCATTGGAATTAAGCGATAAAGGTTGACGCGCTGGCAAAGAAAGACTAGTAGGATCAAGTGCCGGACGACCAGATTGAAAACGCTGCGAATATTTAACCGAAAGATTATGTTGGCTGTTCAGCAACCTCCCAACATTTAAATCGGTGCTGGGCACCTTTTTTACTCTGCTTAAACGTTCCCAAACTGGTTCCGATCTGTCGGCTATGGTAGAAAAATAAATAAAAAAATTTAATATTTTTCTTTTTAAATTTTCTTCAGTTTTTTACACGTCTAAGTCACCGAATATTAACGATTTTCTCATTTTCTTTCTGCTTTAAAAAAATTCGCTATGCCATCTTCTATATAAGTTTACATATACGATAGGTTGATATTGATATAGAAAGCGTTGTGTTTGAAAAATCTTTGAATCCGGATGTGACTTTAGATTGGGTTTAAATTGTCAATTTTTTTTTTTCTTGTAAATTTTGTTATGAAAAAAAAAAAATACCGCGTTCAGTATCCATCCCACTTTCAACTTCAGTTTTATAACTTTAAAGCAGTCCGTGGCCAGATCAACTGGGAAATAAATGCGAGAAGTACAAGTACTCGCATCAATCTCATTTGCCTGGCGAGCGATCCGAACTACCGCCTCTTCCTAAAGCTAGTACTGAAATGAAAATATACAGTTTTCTTAGTTTCCTTTCCTTACCTTTAGCGTGAGTACGTTGACTGCGCTTTTTCAATTCGGCATTTTCATTCTCCTTATCGACTTTCACGGTTTGATGATAAACTGGTTCATAGCGATGATTCATGATTGGACTCGAATTGACGTGACGCCTTCTTGTTGGTGCAAATTTTTCCGAAATTCTTTATTATGTAAAATCCCCGAAATAGGATCAAAGGATAGTATAATATTATGTCGGCAGTATGTTATAAAATCTAATGACACTTCGTAAAATATCCAAACATAAAAAATTCACGCAATTTGTAAATTTTGGTAGACAGTTAACATATAACTTATTCGAATGAAACAGAAACTATTTTATCAATAATAAAACTTTCCAAATTTTTTCCACAGTTCAAATGAAACACAACAAGATTCCTATATTCTTGAAGACAATATATATATATACATATATACATATATATATATATATATATATATATATAATACTAACAATAAATGAAAAGTAAATAAAGGCAAAATTTCCCAAGTATGTGTGACGAGTTGAAAGGAAAATCAAAGTAAAATATTTTTTTTGTTAATGATATTTGAATGTGCAAGCCAGTCAGTCGTCTTGTATTGTATTGTAATGACAGCTTGCAAGTGGTATTTTCTTTTCGCTAAAACGCAGAATTATGCCTTCTTGCAGAGATCAGAAGTGTATTGCGTCACCGGCGTTTCGAGTATTGCCCGGCATGGACAAATGGTGCGAAAATAATTGCTTACGATATCCTCCAAATTGTCCGGAGACGGCCTGCTATTGTCCGTGAGTATTAATTAACATTATATGGCCTCCGGCCTCAGGTCATTTGTAGTTTACTAATTAAAAAATTCTCCCAACTTTTTTTTTTAGGCAAGAATGCGTCGCCATTGGTGAATTGGAAGGCAAAGAGGGTGCAGATACTTACTGTATGGACGCTTGCCTTAATTATGGCTCCGATTGTCCGGCGAAGAGATGCCGTTGCTTCTAAATGCTTAAGAAAATCTGGTATTTTCTTAGCAAAATGCGAATAAACAAAGTAATCTTTTTCATTCCTCCCCCTCCTCCCACTCCTCTCTTCGCCCACTCCCCTTTCTAACAACTTTTTTAGAAAAGATAAAAATAAAGAAACAAAGCTGTGCTAACAAATTAGTTTTCTTTCAAAAATTACAAAATGCCCTAAGTAGGTATGTATTTATTATTCGCCTTTTGTTTTTGTCTAATACTCTCTTATCGGAATTGAGTTAATGGTACCCACGTCCCATTTCATAGGCTTTGATCAATGATAATAAAAAAAATACAGTTTTTCATATTTTTTATTCAGCAAAAATGCAAGTGCAGAGTTTTTATTCGAGCCCGTTTACACTATGCTTTACAATGAAAGTTCATAAGACTTCCGGTTTTTTCGTTTCCCTTTCATTTCTGGGCCGCAAGTCATCAACTAACATTGTACATTAGTTACCTCACGTCGGAAACTAGCAAAAAGCGATCGATAGCGCAAAAAAAAAGGAAACTTTTCTTTAAGTAAAATTATTCATAGAGCGTAACGCGAAATGCATATATGACTTTCGAGCCGGATGTTAATTCTGAATTTTCTTATGCCGCTCCACTCTGGTATGATGTGTCATTATTATTGTTATTACTATTACTATTATCATTATAAAGGTGACGGAAACCCTAAGGTTTATGCTCAAAAATTTCACGTAGTCTTTGCACACAGAATGCACTACCGCATTGGTTTTCCACGGTTAGCAATTGACAGGAAAGCGGTGGATAGTTTTTAAGAAGTGTTGCAATTCGGTTATTATTGCTCATAATTTGATTGTCTGGTCGAAAGGACGTTTTCCTATAGTCTTGATGAAGATTGAGCGGAAATGGTGGTGGAGGTGGTGGCGGTATAGTGGGGCCTAGTTTCGGTGTTGCACTTGGAGAACGTGAGATGGCATCTTCAAATAAGATTTCCTTGTTAACAAGAACTTCACCTTCGATACGGCTGTCATCGTCGTTTTCGGATAAATTCAATTGCTCATCTTGTTGAACCATAATTTGACTCTGCGGTAAATGCGTGTCATTGGAGATAGTGCGCAGCTGATATTCCAAATCGTTGTGACACTTCTCTAGAGTTTCTAAAAATCTAGTACACTTGTTAATATCAAATGGACTGCTTATTGTTCCAGAAATTTTGTCCCAACGTTTACGGGCATTTATACGTTTTTCATCATCTCCACTTTGTCTTTCTGATGAAAGACAAGAATAAATGGCATCGCTACCCTTACGATTTATTGTTTTATCAGCAAGAGATTGTCCATCAAGATTACCTTCGATTTTAGATCGTTGCGACATTATACTGCCAGTCAATTTCTTATTAGAAGCGATCACCACATCATCCATTGCGGCAGCGTGCTTTTTGCGCTGTCTTGACGTTTTGGGAATAGTGTTAGGGGAATTGATGCGATGTTTTAATTTCTCATGTTTGCTTCTGTTTATTGCGTCCGATGTTATTCCGGGATCAGTATGCATGAAAGGTTTGTTTAAGAAACGACGAGTCTCTTTAAGGGTCTCACGCAAGCCAAAGTTAACTTCTCCGCTCAAATTATTTGTAAGCATACGTTGCATATTCCAATTCGATACTAGATTGCCATAAATGAGACGTCGTTTAACACGTGCCATACTTTTCTCTTCATCTTCGTCCGTTTGCGCCTTTCTCGGTGGTGAGTTCAATTTTGATCGTTTAGCAAGGCCAAAACCCTCCTCACTACGTATCTTAGTCATTGTTTTAGATTGCTCGGGTGAGCTTCTACTTTGATGGCTTCTTCTACGATTTTTCTCCGATTTCGATAAATCGTCACGATAATATGGCATCTGATTTTTGAGCGTTTTCTCTTTAACCATACGCCGTTTTTTCAAATTGGTTTCCTTGATCTCCTCAATTTCCTTAAATAAACGTTTCAAACGCACCTGACGCATTTTAATATCAATTGTACGCTCGTTAAAATCTTTAATACGCTCATACTCCTCCTTGAGCTTCTGCAACTGGCCGTTCTTCTTGCTCGTCGTAACCATACGCCGAAAAAACGGGGTAGACTTAATTTGATACGACATAACTAGCTCTCAAACTTTCGCTTCCTACTTGCCCAGAACGTTATGCAAATTGCGATTTTGTTTTAAACAAATATTTAATTTTTTTTTTTTTATAATTTTTTTTCTAGGTTTTTAATTAAGTTTTTCTTATTAACACGTTAAATAATTTTGCGCTTAGATTTTAAAAAATGTATGGAAAATCGAAATAAATATAAAAAAAACTAGGCCTTTTAACAAAATTTCCAACTAAAATTTTCACATTAAAACTTTTTTTATGTATATTTTTATTTTCACAATTTAAAAAAATTCCGTGAAATAAGAATTTAAACTTTCCAAATTTTCTATATGACAAAATTTGATAAAATAATTTGATTGAAAAAATGTGAACACTATTTATTTATTTTTTTTTTTTCTTTGGTATTTTTTGCTTACTAGGTGTTTCTGAATAAGAAAGTAAGAGAAACTTTTACCCAAATCTTTTCACTTCATTCTCTCCCCATTTCCGCTTCTTTACATAGCACTTTGCTTAAGAGACTATTTAATAGAAAGTAGATCGTGTATAGTCGAAATGCGCTGAAGGAAAAGAGATTTTTGTCCCATTTCCATGTATGAGCGCCTATTTAAGTGTGTTGGTAAAAGTTTGCGGAATTTGCGGGCCCTTAAAATTGTGGTCGAAAACTTGCAATTTACCCAAAAGTGTTTTGCTTGAATTTCAAGCGAGACTTGATCGCAAACACATCTACAATATGTGAAAAAAGTTAGAAAATAAATTTACCTTCGATCGCATTCAGATGGAAGGCAATATTATGTGCGATTGCGGATGTGCCAAGGAACTATGATCTTAAGTACATTTTTTACGAAATTAACTATGCTTGTGATAAATATCTTTTGAAAAGAATTTCGATCGATATCTTCTGAAGCATGTGCTTTCTCAAAACCGTTCGTTTCTTTTTTAAGTAAGTTCTGAAATCCTATATAAATAAACGAAACTTTCTCATTCTCAGATTGCAGTCTCAAGTAAAATCGGAATGCCGTATTTCAGCTTTCATTACCATAAGGAAAAGAAAAAGAAAGACGTGTCGAGTGACAAATGCCCATAGTTAAGAGAGATAGAATAGAGTAAGACTGTCGCAAGAGTGTAAAAGTAAAGAAAAGTGCCTGTGAAAACACGAAGAGTAGAGTAGCAGTTCTAGAGTCTATGGCAATATATGCATTAGCTCCTAGGTGGGCTATGCTTTACATTAAGTTTATCTCTTTCTCTTTCGTTACTTTTTTCTAGCCATCATTGTACGACTGGTTATTGTAACAGAAAAGAAAAAAAAAGTTTTGTATAATATCGCGCATTATATAGACTTTTGGCAGTTGGCTGCAAAATACACTTCGTCTTGTATTACAGAACTTTACTCAACTTCAGTTTCTTTTCCTCCGCTGACTTTTCTTACTCAGTTTCGCAATTGAAAAATCTCGTAGACGCTGCATATAATTGCATGTGCCCGCTTTGCAATCAATCGTTTTTGGCTGAGCTCCAAGAGATGTAATAAAAACATCACAAAATGCCCATAACATTCGAAAGCTACTGCACGAGTTTTATACATTGGCGGCGATAAATAGTGATATGAGATTTCGTTCTACTCTTTTTAGGTAGCCAGTCTAATTCCCATCGGAGAACCTATCAGCGAAAATTCATAAATTTTCTATTCATCGCATACTGTTGCATGTGCGCTAACCTTATCCTTATCTTCGAACATGCAAAATGTTAAAAATGTGTATTTAAAACATATGCTTATAATAGTGTATGTTCTCTTTGCAGCTTATATGCTATATTTAAAATAAAATGAAATTAAATTATTGACGAACAATAGAAATAAGCGATTTATAATAGTGGGTGAGTATCAGAAAATTCGAATTGAGCCGAATACAAATAATTTCTTTCATGCAAGAAAAGTTAGATTATATGATGCATGCAATATATCACTTATTCGTGATACTTCTTTTAACGTTTATTTTAATAAAAAAATATATATTTTCTTGAATCGTTTATCATCCTATGTTATTATGTTATTTGTCCGATCGTTTAAAAATAAAAACTGCTTAAATTTAGTTAATTTTATGCACGTAGTTCTAATTATTAAAGATTTGTTTATAAAAGTTTTAAAAATAAAAATCATATTTATTTCAATGTAATAAAAACTAAAAAACTAGATAATTTTATAATTGGGATTTGATAATAAAAAAAAAGGAATTAATAATAAAAACTTAATTTTAAAATAAACAATGCATTGGAAGTAATGATGTTATTGTTAATTCCAAACAAAGACTTCTTCAGTCTATTGCGGATAGTTTGGTAAGAAGAAGGTCTCAAATGAAAATTTGTTTTTTGTTTTTTTTAATTGCGAAAGAAAAACTTCTTAGTACGAGCTTAGCTCGCTCACTAGTAGAATAAGGAAAAAATTGAGATTTTTTCTGTTTTTTTTTTTTTTTTTAGAATTTTGGCCTACAGCTATCACAAGAGGAATTGTATTTACTTTATTACTGTTTCCTTTAAAGACGGAGAGCCACATTGAAGAAGAGTTGCAGTTTTAGTTCTATTATAGTTTTAAAAAAGAAAGATTTTCTTCTTTTTTTTGATTTTTTGTTTATCCAATGTAATTTCCGATTCATCAGCGTCCTGCAAAAATCATATTAAAAAGAGAAATTTATGAGATAATTGTGTATTAACATACTAGGTGCACTTGTTCGATTTTACCTTATCTGCGTCTATTTTCTTGCTTTTGCTAACTTTCTTAGCTTCCTTTTGCTTTTTCTTTTCTTTTTTCGATAATTTCACATTAGTCGATTTTTTACTATCGATTTCATCTTCATCACGTTTCGCTATATGCGATTCCAAACGTTGTTTGATGCTCTGCAATAAACAAATTATGCTTCGATTAGAAACAGAAGAACCAATAGGTAAAGATGAATAGAAAAAGAAGAACAACGAAAACCAATGGGAAATTTCAGTCAATAAATAATGGGAGTCTATTTTCGTTCGTTTCATTTAAGTTTATATCATGACATTTCCATACCAATTACTTTCTGCTTTTAAGTTCACAATTTCCGCTTCAATAAAATCAATTCAATTTTTTCATCACAGTTCTTACGCGAATGCGATCTCGATCGCGACAAACAATTGAATGCCAATGCGAATCGATCTGTGCACTTCCCAATACAATACTAGAAGTATTAGCAAGGATCGATAAAAACTCTGCGGCTTGCAAATAAGACTGCTGCCCCATATGAGCTCGAAAGTATCAAATACAAACAATGCTTAGTTTAAACTTCCATATATATATTTATATTTATGGGATAAACAGGATGATGAAGAACCTGCTAAGGTAAAAGCCATCGGGGAAAGCAAATACACTAAAAACACTTAATATTGTAACAGTTTTGCAAGTAGAACCGGTTTTATGCTGATACAAATGATAGGATGAGTGGCAAAAATTTACAATTGAAACTTTTACACGAAATCAAAGTTTATTTTTCTTCGCGAACCCTTGCTGCTTTCTAATTCGCTTGTCTAAAGGGGACTTCAGCATGCCAGTTGAATTATTCATTAAATTGTGTGGTGACGATGCATAAAAAAGGAAAAGATACGAAACTAAATGCAAATTTAGGCGAATTGGCCTTTACGTCCGCTTTTCCTTTCAACATATTTTTCAAATATTTTTTATCAATCAATACAATCATTAGAAAGAAAAGAAGATTTTGCGGAGGAAACTACCTGATCTTCTTCTATTTCTCTAATGCGATCCATTTCCAGGCAATCGACCACTTCGTTCCGCAATTGCACCACTTCTACCAAACGTTCGATAAGAGCTTCTTCTCGTGCCTTATCCGTATCAGTTTTATTCCGCTCAGGTTGGGCCATAAGGACACGGATCTCATATTCCAAATCTGCTTGCTCTTGTTCAAGACGGTGTTGACGACGTCTAGTAAATATGAGAATAGTAAAAATGTTGTAAAGAAAAAGAAGAAAAAAAAGCAAGCAAGCACCAAAGGTGTCTGCTTACAATGAATTCCATAGTTATTTGTAAGGACTTACAGATACATTAGCTCGGCTTGACGGCGAAACAGTTCATTCTTTTCGTTCACCAATTCAAACAATTGTAGTATCAAATATTCGACTTCTTTAGAATTTTGACTATTTTCGGGTGACGATGTCGGCTCTGCATCCTTAGCATTTTCTTCAGCTAACTTAGTACTATTTGTATTCGAAGGTACATCATTTTGGCCTTCGCAACGATCACGTATCATTTTCTCTAGTATTACCCCTTGCTTTTCTAAACCCTGCTGCTGTACCTCTATTATTTCGAGTTCATGTTTAATTTCTTGAAGTGGTAACATCTGTAAAACTCTTCGTGGTGGTATTGGTAAAGCAGGTGCGGGACCTTTACGCCGTTTCCATTTGCCATGAATTGACTTATTAAAAAGAGGATCAGAATCTTCAGCACCAGACGAGGCGCCCGAAATTTGAGACTGACGATTGCGATTCTTCGCTTCTTTATTATCTTTCAATTTCTCCATTTGACGTTCACCCATCGATGATGTTCTATTTAAATGCTCGATTAAAGGATTCGTTTCACGGGGCGGAGTATCCAAATCAGAGGGTATTAAAAGACGTCTATAGACAACATTTGTTTCTTCTAATTCACTTTCTGGATGTATTGTTTGCTTTTGATGACGTTCTTTGAAATCATCCGATTGACTGGCTATCTGCTGTTGTTGATTTTGCTCTCCGTGTGCGGATTGACCATGTTCTTCGAGTAATTCCTTATCGAGCGGTATTAAACGTTTTGAACTTTGCCTATTACTTAATGCAACACATAATTCGGAATCGTTGTTTTTTAAGGATGACAAAGTCTTACCCTCCAACAAAGCTTTCTCTTCATCGGATAATTTCGAGTCCAATTCGCTTTGCAGAGGGTAACTAAGCAAGTTTTTTGACTTAAGCTCAAAATCAACTTTTAGCTGTGCTTCAAGTCTAGCAGGCTTGGGAGGCGCCGGAGCTGGTCGTTTTTTTCGTCCTGACTTTGGCGTACCTACTGTGCTGGATGCGGGAGTAGACGCTTTCGAGCTGCTGTTAATTGTTTCATTGGATGGAAACAATTCTTTAACCGGAGCGGGTGGCAATGGTGCACGACGTGTCTTCCGCGATCTAACCGTACCGCTAGTAGAAGAATTAAGCGAATTATTAGAAGATCTAAGATCGGAATTGCGTAATAAATTATTGGGTGTCGCGTAGAGCAAAGAATTGACGCTGCCATAGAAGTCACTTGAGTTTTGAAGAATATACAAATTTTGCGGTGTAGTAGCTGTTGAGGAGATGGTGCCGATATTGTTGGTGTTACTGGTTTTAGTGCTTAAACGTGGCGTTGCCTCAGGTGTGGGATTTTGTGATTGCGATCTAAGTTTATGCGGTGGAATGTATTTGTATTTTAGCATTTTGTTTAATAAACATATAGCACAATCTATAATCTACAAGCGATAATGATTAATATGATGGATGTTGATTGTAATAGATGACTGTTCGCTTCCGGTTTCACTTGAAAAATGACACTAACACTTATAATTCTTAAATTGATATTAGCCAAAAAGTAACACATACTCAAATAGCAAAAGAAAATATTCTCTGTGTACACAAAAAGCAATTATTTTATTCTCCCTTTACTGGTAATAAATATAAATATGAAAACATGACCTATGCACACTGGATAACAGAACATAAATAAACTTCTTTAACGGAACTAAAGAAACAGTTGTAAAGAAGAAATAGAAGAAGAAAGAATTCATTGCAAAAATAAATTCATTTAGGCTTTTACTAGATACCTGAGTCGCGTATTCGCAGTCTATAAAAATCGACGCTACGCTATAGAGTATGCAAGTTAGGCAAGCGCAACTGAAACCTATACGTATTTTTTATTTATTCATTTTTTTTTTTTTTGTGAACTAATGTTCTTTGTTGGTGTGACCAGTGACAACCGACACCTAATGAATTGTGTTTACGTTTCTTAAGCAAGTGAATGAATGCGTTTATATTTTTAATTTTAATTATATTATATAGAAAGAAATTCCCGCCGTAGTTAAACGAATTCGGAAAGGAGTTAGTTGAGTTGCTTGCTAATGGGCTGCCGCTTTCAAACTAAAGCTAAAAAGAATTAATTTCTCTCTCTTAACTCATTTATTTACTGTTAGGCAATAAGCTTAAGTCTTTGAAGAAGTGTACGGAACATGTGTTTCCATAATTATAATGAATTGTTTTCTCGCTGTTATTATTCTTTTGCTTTGATTATTATACAAAAGAGCAAGCAGTACTTGGTATAACTTGGAGAAGCTATAGGGAAATATGACACATATGCATGTATTAAAAGAAGACTGGGAAATAATATATGTCATAAGGTTGGAAAGGTTCGTTTCACAAACGCCAGCTTGATTATAAGGATTCGTTAGCAAATTGATTATGATTATAAGGATTGATTAAAAGCAGTCTCGATAGAAATTAATTTTAAGACTTTGTCAATTTCACATAATTATTTCCCCTATGTTAAGCAAGCATCAAAGTGTTGATATTTTAATTATATGAAAAATTGCTGCAACTTTTAGCCGATATAATTCTGAGCAATATCGCGGAGACATCAGAAATCAATAGGTATTTTCTTGTTTGTAATTTCCATCACTTAACAATATTGTTTTATAATAATATTGATTGCAATATTGAAGCATTTTATTTGCAATTATTTGTTGATGTAAAATCCAAAACCTATAACAAGAAAAAACACCTTCATTTCTCTTATGACTGACTGGTGACTGACCGATCATTATACGATCTTTATATATATATATATATATATATGTATATATGTAAAATCCGTATCCCGTATTTGCTTTCCGCAAGATTAAATCATAACTATGAAACTTGTGTCACATTTCATATCCGTGTCAACGTCATGGTAAGTTTTTGGTTTTTCCTTTTTTTTTTTAATTGTGGCTTGTTCTTGGAAAATTGCTACGAAGACGCTTAAGCAAAATGTTGGTTGATGTTGGTTGAAATGCTGGTTATAAAAGCTACAAAACGAAAGAAAGTGAACGAAAGAGTTGTAACTAGTTCAGCAATAACAAGACGAAAAGAATGTTGCAAATGTTGGATATCTATGTCGAGGTTCATGAAGACAATTATTGTCGAAAATAATTTCTTTTATAAAAACAAAAAAGAAGCAAATTCACATAATAATTGAATTAACACGATTTTATTCTGGTTTAGTGTGCCCTGAGAAAGTTAAACTTCAAAATGCAATAAGTTTGATAATAAATTAATGCTAACTAGCTAGTTTACCACACAAAAACATCTGAAATTAAAATATGTTCTCTGTCGGTAACAACAACAGCAATAACAGCAATAATAATAAGCAACAAACAATAATTTTATAAAGTAAATCACTATTCATTAAAAATTGTTTATATTTTAAACAACGGTTTGCGATTTAACGATTCATCGCAGTGCGGGGAGGCGTTTTACCGCACTCGCACTCGTTACTGTTTATTATCAATTTTTACAATTTTTTCTAATATCCAGGGTAAACCAAACTTTGCCATAAATAGCTTCAAACCGCTTCAAGCGTATTTAAGCAAATTTATATACACAAAGTTCAGTCGTACTTATGTTAGAGTTAGCATAATTTAAATACTTAATCGCACAAGGCCACATCTTTAAAAATTAATATTTCAACCGATAGAGAGAAACAGAGAGATTAAAATGAATTGTGATATCACTTTGTTAAAGAATTAAATTCAAAGCAGAATTTTGGCCGTTTTCTTTATTGCATATTTGCATGCTTTTCTTTGTCATTCATATTTATACACTACACGACTTGTTGTACAGGTTATGTTGGTATATTAAGCTAGGGAGGACGTATGTAACACGCAGAAGTGCTTAAGATGGGCCCACCTTTTATTATACCGATCGATTCAGAATCGTAATCTGTATTGATCTGTGTGTCGGTCTGTCCATGGAAATTTGTGTTCACGCTATAGGTCGCAATTTTTTAGATATTTTGATGAAATTTGATACAGCGACATTTTTTCGCCCAAAAATGAATAATGCTACTTAAAATGGTTCCGATCAGTCCACTTTTGCGATCACTTTCCATTTAAAAAAAATTGTAATTTTCAAAATATCTAAACAAAACTGGCTAAGTAGTAATATTTCGTCATTCTCAATTGGTATGAAAACTTTGGATCGGCTGGGGCAATTTTTGAACCTCCTCCCACATATAACGAAAACGGAAGTTCATACGATAAAAAAAGTATAATTTTCAATACTTCATTATGAAAATGTAATATTAAAAAATTAACTGTACTAAATTTGGACCATTCCGGCCTACTCTTTGGATCCTATTCTAATAAAGATTTTCACGAACATTGACCCTTTGCAGAGTAGAAAATCTAAGTTTTAATATTTAGCGATGAAAATTGACCCATTGTACAAAGTTTGGCCCATCTGCACCTTTTTTCGGATACTGCCCTATATAAGGATTAAATTTGTACTACATTAGATTGGGTTTTGGCCCCGCTTTCCCATAAATACGCACTTGAAAAATATGTCTTTATATAGACAGAGGACATAATTTTTGTATCCTTTAATAAAAATAAGAATTGTGTTAGACAATATGGTGTAAAGTATTTACTCGTTGGCCTTGCGCGACTGTAATGTTCTTACTTGTTTCTTTTTTTTTTTTTTTTCTTTACTTTTTTTTGCCAAAAGCAACTCAAGCCTGAAGGTAGGCAAAGTAAAATTTTTTTAGAGAGAAAATAGTGTCATGCGATTTTTTTCAAATAAAAGCAAATAATTTAAGGAGAGAAGAATAAATAAAATAAATTGAGGAGAACATCACATGTACTACTTCTGGTGCGAGGCTATATTCCGTTTGTAAGGATGTATGCAACGGAAAGGCTCGAGATAGTTCCGCACTTCATTACATCGATCGATTCGGAATCATTTTCCAAAATAATTTTTTTTGCCTGTCCGCCTCGTTTTGTTGTGTTCAACCTACAGGCCGTAATTCTCGAGATATTTTTATGAAATTTGGTACACCGAAGTATTTTGATCCAAGGACGAACGCAATTGAAAATGGTACGGATAGGACCTATTTTGCCACCGCTTACGCGATTGCACACTGTTAAGCCCTATTTTAAAAAATTTTACATGTAGGGCGATGTATGGTATTTAATGGTGGGCCAAGCCCCATTTCTTTTATGGAATAAAAATTGAAAAATACCTTGAAAGGAACTTTGAAAGCCTGGTAACTGATTTTTTTTTTTTGTATTATTTATGGGCTTTTTCAAGCAGCTGATGGCAATCATTCTCAGTTTTAAATGGTTTCAACGAATACATAAATCATATTTATCATTGTCATCTAGTAAATTCTTAATAAAACGCCGAAACTTATTGAAAAGTTCATAGATTGCTGCCATAGCATATAAAGAGAGTTATATAATCTTTTATGTTTTAAAATTTCCTACAAAAACGTACGTTTTTTGGAAATTTTTTGCTAATAGAGTTTTACGAGTTTGATGACAATCAATAACAAAATGGAAAATCTACTAAGGCGCCTTCTTCTTCCTAAATTTAGATAATATTACATGATAAATAACAAGTGTTAATATAACAAAGTTAGAATTATCTATGCTAACCATAACAGTCTGAAGCGTAGTTTTTCTTTTTTAATTTTATATAATGAAAAATGATAAACATTTCTGAATGTGAGGAAAAGAAATCTAGTTTAAAACATGTATAACAATATCTCATATATGGTAAAATTAATGTCAAACATCTCAAGCTAGGCATTACTTTTTTGTATAATCCTAAGGACAATAAAAAAAAGGAAAGGAAAACCAAAACAAACCATTTGGAAATTCAAATTTAGGTACTTAAAGTAAAAGATTAAGAGATAGGAAAGTGATGTAAGATTCCACCTTGCATTGCCGCGCTATGCTTTGACTAGCTTGGCAGTACAACCTTAACCACTAAAGTGGGGAAAGTTGCAAAAATTGTAAAACACACACACACACACACACAAATACCCGGGCCCGCGTAGAGAGCATGACCAAAAATGCCGCAACAAGGGGCATTGCGGACAGCTTTATAACCACCGTGCTCTAGGAATTAAGACGGCTTGAGAGAAGAAGCAGTGGACATGCAAACGTTCCAGCACTACCGGCGTTCCAGCGTACAGCACTGAACAGTAACCTGCTTGCACGAAATATCGGGGGGGTAAGTTTAGTAAGTAGGCGCGACCATCGTGACGGTGCCACTAGATATCCAGGAAGATTTCTATCTTTCTCATTCGCACAGCAACAAAAAAAAAAGAGCGCAAAGACCGTTAAGATTAGAAACAAATTTCAGGAATAATTCTTAATAAAGTTTTGAAATTTATTAGCCTTATGAAGAGCTAGGAGAACTACTTTGGAAATCCTCATGTTTCTTTTTTGGATATAGTTAACTGAAATCTATAAGAAAATATCCTATATATCAGCCATTATTTTACGTCCCTTTGAGTTAAGAGATATCGATGTTCCTACAATTGTTGTTCTTAGGCCTCTGTAAAGTACGCAATCCGTCAAGTCAATGTAAATTCTTTTCTAACTGCTTTACCCCTTTTCTTATTGTTATTTAGCTTATCTTTCTTGATCTCTTATAAGCTGAGCTTGACTTTTAATTTTATATAATCTACGCTTTTGTGCTTTTTTTCTTCATGCGTTCTCTACTTGTTTACATTGTTGACGTAAATCGCTAGTGTTTAGCGAGTGTCGTCTGTAATGAAAATTATTCATCTTTGTGAAATTGATGAATTACTCGAAAGGCAAAAATATGAATTTTTAATGAGTCTTTAAATAAAAATGCAAATGTAAATAAATTTTCTTAAAGAGCTTTACGAGATGTGTTTGCAACACTTTGCGGATATAAACACCTACAATGGATACAATAGCGAACAGAGACGGCATCTATTACATGTGATATAGTTTTATTAAAAATGATCTCATGAATGAATTACCAAGAAGTAAATAAATAAAATTAGTTACATACCTGTTTGTTCTGGGTGTAGGAACTGGGGTTTTTCTACTCTGCGATATATTAAGACTGGAACGCCTAGAGAAACTTTGTGAAATAGATGATGATTCTTCACCGTCTTCATCGGCGAAAGGGTTACGCTGTATACGGGGTGGTGGCGGCCTGGGTGGTGGTATTTTCGGCGTTGATGTTATCGATGCCGAAAGACTGGAATTCTGAGATTTTAATAATTCAATTTCGTCATCTGAACTATCAAACGGATTTGTTCTTTCGGATAATTTGGAAATAGAACTCCTCTGCGAAAAATTATTCAAATTTTCATTATTGACTGATCTGTCATCGTTTTCTTCCTCGTCGTCCCCGTCGTCGTCCTCGCCCCCATTCTCATTCTCATTCTCATTCTCATTTTCATCCTCATCCTCTGACATAAACGGATTTAAATCTTTAGGATAATCTTCGATGGTCACTTTAAGAGACTTTTTCTGAGTTGCTGAGCGAGCAGAAAAATTGGCGATTTTTGCATATTTTTCCGAATCTATCTTTGTTTTCTGTTGCGACTCTGCACCAGCACTAACAAGGATATCATAAATTTTCGTTTCCGTGGAATTTAATATTTCATTATTTTCTTTTGCTTCCTTATCAGAGGGCACATCAATTTCCATGTGATTCAATTTAGGTGCATGCTTACTTTCCTCATTATCTGGTTTAGTCACATCTATTTTCATATTAACTTCTTTCGTGGAATTTAATTCAGATAAGTTTAGATCAATAATTTCCGATTTTTTTTCGTTTTCATCTCCGCTGTCGTTCTCAATTTTTTCAACAATTCTACTCGAATCGTTTAAAATCTCAGGAATTTGTTTTGAGTTATTGGTATTTAGTGTTTCGCTATTGCTAGCTTGATCTTGATGAAAATTGTTAGAAGATTCTTTTCGCATATTTTCTATTACTTCGAATTGTTGCAAACGAGACCTCACTACACTGAGTCTTTCCGTAGTTTCTTTGTCGTCGAAGACAGTGGGAAACAGTTTAGATTTTGTGCGCTTTTCATTTAAGATTTTTTCTAAACTTTTCGTATCAATAGCTTTATCGAAAGACGTACTATTCTCTTTACGCTGGCAAGCGATCGTAGCAATGCTTTCAAACACTTCTATATCAGCTTTGTCTTTGGTTATACAATCATTATCATTAATTTGAATTAATTCTAAACGACTATCCTCATTATTAGCGTCATCATTATCAGTTCCAATATCGTTTCGCTTCGTTTCCTGCGTCAATTCTACGGCCGTGGTTTCGATCAAATTAGGAGATTCTTTTACTAAAACTTCCGCTTTTTCGGGACTGGTATTGTTATTGCTTTCATCACTGCCTACAATTGGCGTTAATTGCAAAGCCATTTGCTTAGACTCCTGTTGAGTTTCAACAACATTATTGTTAGGTTGTATATCTGTTGAAGATTTTTCCATCAAAAGTCCTAGAATCAGCTGTGTAGAACCTGTCAAATAAGCTTCGTTGTCCTTGGAATTGATTTCATGTGCCATTTTACTGGGCGGTGACGGCAGTACAGTGCTAGCTAATTTTGGAGACTCCCGAATTTCTTCAGAGTTACCGTTATTTTCTTTTTCCTCTTCCTCTTCTGATTCAGAAGTTTCCATTTTTCCATCTTCATATTTCCTATCAACAATATCGGAGCCAGCGACTGCATCGTTAAGGAAACTAACAAAGGCTGCGCTCATTTTATAAGACGTGGGACTTCCTTTCTTTTTTTCTAAACTTTGACTTTTTTCCTCATCACTGACGTTTTTTTGCAATAATTCGCTGCTATTGCATTGGTGCAATTCCATCTCTTTTTTTTCAAATTTCTCACCTTTTTCGAAAAAGGATAAACGTTCCTTTATCGAATTTCTAGCTGGTTTTGTAACAGGCGGCAGCAATAAAGCGTCACTTTCAAATTTTGCACGTAAGTCAGCGTTTGTGTTGCCTGCGCAATTGTTACCCGTTGCCGAATCTGCTTTCATCGCTGTAAGTTCCTCATCAGGACACGTTTCACAGCAATATTGATCATCTATTTCGGTTTCATAAAAGCTACCCGGCGTGAGTTGAGATCCACATCGGGCACATCGCAGACAAGTGCGATGATAAACCTTCTCGCCTACCATCAAACGTTCAGCCAGAAAAACGGGTAATTTACATTTACGACAAGGATCGCGTCTAGGCACGCCAACCACATGGGCCATCTAGAAATTAAATAATGAAAAATAAATGAAATAGATAAACAATTTCGAACGAAAAATAGAAAAAAAAAAGAACAAAAAAAGACAGTTAGCATTAGTAGCTATTTTATCAAGTTAAAAAAAAAAAAAAAACCTGAGTCTCTGCTCCTTCGAAGCGAATTAGATATTTTTCTTAAAGTGCGTACTTTAAAAAATTTATATAACAATAAAAAGAAAATTTTTGAAAGTCTACTTTTATTTGCTTTGGTTAATCTAATTTCAAAGCATGTTTTTAGGCATTTAATCGAACGTTTATTATAAATACCGAAGAAGCATTTTATTTCAAGCCAATTAAAAACTAATATATATCTAATTAAACAGAATGAAGAGAAAGAAGAATTAAAAGGCCGTAAAGCAATGCTAAGAAAGATAAAAAGCGAAGAACTATGAAAAACTTAAATCTACAGTTATGTAACTCACATACTCACGTCCTTAATCAAAAAGCGTTTATAGTTAGTACATACATATATAGTTTCGATTAAAAATTAACAGTGTGCACTAACCTGCTGAATAGTCCAATAATTATGACGAGTCACACAACACAATGATGATTTTTGACAATAGAATTAACGCAAATATATATATATATATATAAACGATACGAAATCAACGTAAGCCAAACTCGCTCACAAAAATGAAATTCTGCTTCTTCTGCACTTAATTTAACTTAAATTTAATTGTAATTTATACTAAATTGATTATAATTATAAACAATATAAAACATATATAGATAAGAAAAATAAAAAAAAAAATTAAAGAAAAAAAAAAAAAAAAAAACAAACAAAACTGCTTAATTTGTTTTTACAAGCTTACAAATATATAAATGGTGTGATGTATGAGATACTTGTGTTTACGCTATTTGTATAATTTGTTGCAATGATATTTTTTTCTTTTAACTGTGTTATGTGATCTTTTTTATTTGTATTTTTATTTTTTTTATTCATTTATTTCGCTTGTTTCTTGTTCTTTTGTGGAGGGATCTGGGTTCGGTTGTTTTGTTCATAAAGTGGATACGCTTGTATGTATGTAAATATTCTTCAGTTGATTTTTGTCCTTTTTTTATGGTTTTGACAAACATGCAGTTGTTAATTACTTCGCTTTGTATATTTTAATTATTGTTGTTGTTGTTTTTAGCAAAATATTTCAGGTTTGTACTGGCCCATTATATCCAGACCTTTGTCATCCTGCGAAATAAAAGTACACGAGAGAGAGAGAGAGAGAGAGAGAGAGAGATACAGAGAGAAACATGGAGAGAAAGAGAGAGAGAGAAACGAAAAAAAAAAAAGAGAAAAGAAACGAAATATAGAAACAAATTTTCATATATAAAATATTTCACTTCATCAATAATATTGTACGTAGTTAGTTAGTATGCAAATACGAAAGAGGGGAAGGAAAAAATTATTGAAAATTGTTCTATAGAAAGTTAGCGGCGTAAAAACGGCAAACATGCTAAGAAAACATAAGTGGAATTAGTATAGTACGACTTATAATAGTTACACAAAAACTACATTTTCACATACACGTTATATAATAGCAGCAATAATATTAGCGATTGAAAACTATGACTCAAGTTTAATAGGTATGCATGTATGTATAACTTTTTAGAAATGTAAAAATCATTATATTGGGTTATCCATCCGTTTTATGGTTCCGAAAATAAACGTAAATAAGAATCCTCTTCTGATTGAGATTTTAATTGAATTCTTTTTTGCGATATATTATTTGGACCTTGCCATATTGCGGTGGAACGCAATACATACGTAGCTGCACAGCGTACAGAAATTGTTAAAAAACTTATTATGAAAACAGTGAACCCTCGGTTACGTTCTGTGCGTGAGCGATGAAACTAATATTTGCTTAAATGACTTCGTAAGGAAGGAATGTTGTTCCCTTAGTGAAACGAGAAAACAGCTGGTGTTCTTAAAGGAGTTTTACAGGTATAAAAATTACTTTTGGGTGTGTTTTCTGGACTGAAAGTATCATTTTTGACCATAAAAATTGGGATGACCATAAATTGCAATGGAGAACGCCAGAAAAATATGCTGACGAATTGATATCGACTTGGATGATATGAGGTTTTAACCAAAAAATCTTTTATGTGGTATTCGTGGGGTCATGAAATGATTGCGAGAACAAGTCAACGACCATGTAATCTCCGAAAATGCTTAGGTAGGCTTGTCAGAAATATCATGCCATTTAAAGCTTTAGGCTTGTTATGTTGGGGTTAGGCTTGAGCACAGCATTGGCTTATTCGAATAAACCACAAATTCTCAATGACCTTATTCACCAATACTAATCAAGCGTTCACCGAAATAAGAGCAGATTTATTTGTATTTCAAGATTGAATGTTTACTAAAAGTTCAGAGCCATTTTTAAATAAAATGGGCATTAACCAAAATCTAAAACAAAAGGAAATTCGTGTTAATATCTTCTAGCGTTTAGTTATTATATATTACAAAAAAATTTAAAATAATTGTTGTTTTTTCTCATTGTACGAGAATTAATCCAAATCAAGTTTATTTTATAGAAATTATTATCTAGCTTCGATACTTGGTTTTGAATAAGAGGCCATTAAGCAGATCATGCAAACCCAAGGTAATCTTAACGTGCTTAAATCATTCAATCTTCATCCTTAACATAGGCAATAAAATATATGATTGAATATTTGTTTATGCTTTGTTGTCTGCTTGTGTACGTGTGCGAACAATTGCAACCATGTAATAATAGTGTATGTACCCGCTTTCTGCCCAAAGAACTTTCGATGCATATATTTTTTGATTTCGTCTGGATCATCTGCCTCAATTTACGTATCTCACTGTAACTTTCATTTAAGAGTAAGGAGCCCTTCTTTGCTTTACTTATGTCACTTCACACTCACCTTCCCTAGTACGAAATTCTGAAAAGAACCAATTATGGCTCGTTCGAGTGTGCCGATTATGCTCGTATAGTGGCCGCTTAAACAGCTCAAACGTCCTATTGATTGATCAAAATATGATCTAAGATTTCACTGGACAAACGCTTGGGGCTTGGAGCGTATTCGTACGAAAAAACAGCTTTAAAAACTTTTCACGTTGAAATGACGAAAAATTAACGAAACGCAAGTTTGAGATCTTACATACATTACTGAATATGTTATTGAAAATAGGGTTGGCTTTCCACCTCACCAAGTCGCCGAGTCGAGAAACTTTCAACTTTCTATCTTACATAATTTACAAGTCATGGGCCAAAACCCATCAATATTTACTTAGAGAGCTGTGGGCGTGCTCCTTTGAACAATATAATCATTTTTCAGTACCAACTTACGTATTAGTGCTTCCAGTATCTCTGCCAAATTTGAAGTAAATATTGTCAATTATTTTTGCGACAGGGAGAGTGCCAGTAATACACATTCTCCGAAACGGACAGACATGGCTAGATCAATTCAGAAATTGACGCTGATACATACAAATCTGCCTGAGTGGCTGAGGGTTAGGAATCTCAGCTAGCAACTCAATCGTCGTGGGTTCGAATCTCAAGTGCGGTAGAGTTTTTAATAAAAGCCATTGCTGGTGCTTTTAAAAGTAATTTTAGAATTTATTTCCCTGGCGGAATTTATTAATATTATAATAATTGATATATATGGAGAGGATGAATAGACAGAACGCCAGAGCAGAAACTGATCAGCAGAAAATTTCGTTTCGGCGTTTTAGTATCACGTTCTGAAAGGCCAATAGGAGTTGATAAAGGCAAAACGAAGCAAACGGTCGAATGACAATTCACTGAGAAAGATTACTGAGAGTTTCAATCTATTGCATTCTACTGTTCTTGATAACATTTTTATGCACTATAAAAAAGTCAACATTTGTTTTGACAATAAGAATTCCTTGCGAATCACACAATATATATGGATGCCTCACATGTCAAATCGATTAACTTCATAAAATAAGAAGTTGAGAAAAATAATAAAATATTATAAATAATTCATTATTCAGCGGCAAAACGATTTTGTCATTTAGTGATGTTAATACATCTTATTAGAGAAATTCGTTTTGAGTATGTACCGTTGGGAGCTAATCAAGTGCTTTCATTATTAAGTTTAATAAAATTCCAAAAATGGAGTTAATCGATTTGGCAAGTGAAGCATTCATATATATGTAGTTTTTTTTTTTTTTTTTTTTTTTTTTTTTCCACGTGTTTACAAATTTTTTTTTAAAAAAAAAAAAAAAAAAAAAAAAAACGAAACAGGGAAGATTCCCTTCAAGCGGCGCATGTAACTGCAGAAGTGCGTAGCGTTTATTATTATTCGCATCTCGCATTTCGGGCTTTGTTACATTTCTACATTTTTCTGTCGACGAACAGGCAAGGCACTTAATTTTTTAAAATGCATACGAAATTGTTTTTTTTTTTTTTGTTCTCCTAAAAAAAAAAAACAGCTCACACAAATCATTACAAAAAAGTCCAAATGAAGCTCATTCCATCTTATATGTTAATTAATCCTAAAAATAGTACTTCAGCACTTTGGGTCATTTTTTTTTTTCATTTTTACAAATATACATATAAATGTTGGTTGGCATTTTGTCACGCGATCTTTAATGTTGGAAAATACGTGACACATTATCAAGTGCTAAAATATATTTAGCGAGTATCTACTTAAAAATTTCTAAATGCTTTTAAATATCTACAAAAACAAATATATATATATATATATACGAAAAAAAAGAACATAAATAACAAGATATCGACAAAAAACATTGAAAAGAATTATACAGACGGGATGGAGAAAAAGTTTTTTTTTTTTTTTTTTTTTTTTT